CCAATTTTACCCTTGTATTTTGGGGTATTTTAGTCATAGGATTTATTTTCTTTGTATTTCCCATTTTACCCTTGTATTATGGGGTGCTTTAGATGATTAGGGTTTTTATTTTGGGCTAGGGTATTCCATTAGGAGGTGACGCCTATTTTGGTGGTTTTTGGATCTATTTTTGGTGTTAGAAAGGCTTAGGCCCAAGTGGAGGGCAAAGGTTGCATGGACTTATCATGCACCTAGTTGTAGCCAATCTAACCCCTTAGATTCCATCCTTGGCCACCAAGTAGCATCTAGGGTTCATTTGGCATTGCATTTGGAGTGCATTTGCCTTGTGAATTTCGGCCATGCATTGCTCCAAATGCAACCCTAGATGCCTCCCCTCCTATAAATACCCAACACCCCACCACTTGTAAATACTTTGGATTATATGAATTTGAGAGAGCATTTTTGCCTCAAATCCTTCCTTAGTCCCTAGGTTAGTTCGGCTAGCCTCCTTCATTCTCCACCCTTGGAGAGTGAAACCCTAGAGTGGCCTCCACCTACCTTGGAGTGAGCCAACCTAAATCACCAAACACCATCACCTAAAAAGCTTCCGCCCAAACACCATATTCACGCCTAACTTCCACCCTTGTCACCATAAACCTCCCTTTTGTCTTCCTTGTTGAACCTAGATCAAGGGCAAGGTCTTCCCCTTCATACTCTACATCAACCATGGAAGGAGGAACCCATCAGACGCTCTTACACAGTTTATGCAGGTTTCCACAACCAATCAGAAAAATACTGAAGCCTCTATCAGAAATCTGGAAGTACAAATAAGGCAGTTAGCTAAGCAATTGGCAGATCAGCAAAGCAACAATTTCTCAGCCAATACACAAGTCAATCCTAAAGAGCACTTTCAGTCAATTACAACCAGGAGAGGCATGCCCTTAAGTTTAGGGTCATGCATGTTTTGTCATGGAACGAACTCGATTTCGGGTATGTGGTCGGGACTCGACCTCCGAATGAGTTACTAGGGTTCGACCTTGACTTTTGACAAGAGCGTCGAGGTTTGCACTTGACTTCGTAAATTGCAAGCGGGTTCCATTAAGGTTTGGATTCGACCTTTGAAGAAAGCGTCGGGGTTCGTACTCGACCTCGGATTTGACGTTTGATTAAGGTTCGAACTAGACCTCGGATTTTTGCGAATGCATGGGTTAAGGTTCGTGTTTGGCCTTTAACGAGAGTGCTGGGGTTCGTTCTCGACCTCGGGTTTGCCTTTTTAAGGTTCGAACTGGACCTTTATCAAGGATATCGGGGTTCGTGCTCGACCTCGGGGGTCTTAGTGCTGCCCTTGGTGAAGCGAAATTACAGGGTGCCAAGCTTCGAGTTGCGAGGGGGGACCTTGCGAGGGTTCAGAAGTCGCTGGAGATCGCCCTGCGCTCCAACGAGAACTATGCCTCCCAGGTGAACGAGCTGCATGAAATTGCCGCCGCACCTGACCAGTTTCTTGGAAGACGAGGTGACATCTTCCCGTGGTCGAGTTTGCTCCTTGGAGGATGAGGTGACCTCCCTGAAGAGTGATCTGGTGGTTGCGGCTGAGAAGCACCTCTGTGATGAGGTCGTCCTCGGCGGCAAAGAGGAGGAGGTTGCCGCTTTGAGAGTGGAGCTGGCAAAGCAGGAGGCAGAGAGGGCGGTGTTGGAGAAGAAGCTTGAGGAAATTGAACGATCTATTATAGTTGAGCATAAAAGAGGTTTCCTCAAGGCAGCTCGCTAGGCAAGACTCCTTGCGCCGGGATTCGACTTCTCTGCCATGCACGTGGAGAAGGTCATCCGCTTCGGGAAGCTTGTAAAGGAAGATGACGTCGAGGACGGCTCCAGCGAGGATGCCTCTGCGTAGGCCAATTTTGTAATGGCCTGGTTTAACTTTCTTTGCTTTATTTTTCTTTTTTTTGAATTCAAGTTTGGAACTTTGAAAACTTTGCTGTATATATGTGTAGTTTTTGTCTATTCACTGTCGCGCTTTTCTTTACCTTTGCTTTTTGGCTTGATTTTTTTTTTGCTGTTTGCGCATTTTGAGACACACTCTCCCAAACTTAGAACCTTGCTTGTCCTCAAGCAAAAGGTAATTAATCTAGCAGATAACAAGCAATGCATGTGAGTCAAATTCTACATCCTAGTTCGCTTGTATTTTCTTTTCACAAGCATGAACCTAAGATGAATCTCCAGTCACAATTATTGCAATAGAACATGACAAGGTGCAAACAAAGGTTTCAAAAGAGATCAAAGAGCTGAGAAGAGTAATGACTATCTGTGTATACATCCTCACTAGGAAAGTGTTTCTCTCTATGCACACTAGTGTATCAGGGTGAGTGTTTCTCTCTAGTCTACTACTCACGCCACATAATTCAACTTTGCTCTTCGTTTCCAAATGAAACCAGTGGTAAAACAAATGCAGACACTTATCACAAGGTCTTTATTAGGGCAATTCTGGGTCAAGCAGGGTCAAGCATTAGCA